GAATAAATGACATACTGCTCAACTATTTTCTGACATGGTAAGTTAGAAGCACTTTTTAAAAACTTTATGACTAATTCAGGGTCACCTAAAAGTTACTAGGACCGAGAATTCCCATATACTCTTCACTCAGATTTTCTAACTGCTAACATTTTAGCACATTTCCTTTATCACTCTTTTTTTAAACCTATTGGTTAAGCTGTAGACATGATAGCCCTTTACCTCTAAATACCTACATTTAAAAAAAAAAAAAACCATAAATAAACACAGTAAATTATCCAACTCAGAACATTAACATTAATACTAGTATCTAATTTGCTGACCTTATTCAAATTTCACAAGCTGGCCTAAAATGTCCTTTGTACAGAAGAAAAACCAAAAACCAAACTCACTGCCATGGAGTCAGATCCATTCATAACAACCCCTCCTTGGGTTTCCGAGATAGTATCACTACGGAAGTACATCTCCCAACCTTTCTTCCGAGGAGTGGCTGTGGGTTTGAACTGCCAGCCTCCTGGTTAGCAGTCAAGTGCCTTAGGCACTATGCTACCAGAGCTCCCTTATACAGAAGAGAAAACAAGTTTTTGTTACTTCTGGTCCAAAATCCAATCCAGAACCACACTTCATTCACTTTTCAAGTCTCTTCAGTGTTCCTTGATCTGGGACAGTTCATCAATCTCTTTGTGGTTCATTAGCTTGACATTTTAAAGACAAAAGGCCAGTTATTTTGCAGAATGTTCCTTACTGGGTTTTGTTTCTTCATGACATTTTTGGCATGAATGCTGTAGAAGTGATGTGTCCTCCTTGGTACATCACACCAAGAGGCACATACAAATGTCTTCTGTTATTGGAGATGTAACTGATATTCTGGGGAAAGAGCTCTTTGCCAAGTTGCTCCACTGTAAAGTTACTGACAGGCTGATTGTAAAATTTATATGGAAATAAAAAGGACCCAGAATAGCCAAACAATTCTGAAAAAGGACAAGTTGGGTGCCTTATTTCTGATTTCAAGACTTACTAAAGGCTACAGTAGTCAATAGTGTGAAGTACAGACATACAAATGAATGGAATGGGGGAGGATCTTCCCCAATGAGTCAATTCCCACTCATAGCAACCCTAGGACTTCTGGTGGCATGGCATGGTGGTTAAAACATTCAGCTGCTAACCAAACAGTAAGCAGTTCAAACCCACCAGACACTCTATGTGAGAAAGATGACAGTCTGCTTCCATACAGGTTTACAGCCTTGGAAGCCCTGTGGGGCAGTTTTCCTCTGTGCTACAGGGTTGCTATGAGTCAGAATCGACTAAATGGCAATGGGTTTGGTTTTATGGAATGGACTAGAGAGCCCAGAAATAAACCTACTCATATACAGTCAACTGATTTTTGATAAAAGAACCAAGGTAAGTCAGTAGGAAAACAAGAGTATCTTCCGCAAATGGTGCTGGAATAACTGTATATATAGATAGGGAAAGAAAATGAACCTTGACTCATACCTCACTTACACCATACACAAAAATTCACTTGAAATCATAGAGCTAAATATAAAAGCTAAAATGATAACATTTATAGAAGAAAACACAGGGAAAAACATTGTGAGCATGAAATTCTTAGAACACCAAAACCAAAAGCCATTTTTTAAAAAAAAGTTAAACTAGATGTCATCAAATTACAAGTTGCTCTTTGAAATACAGGAGCTTTGGTAGCATAGTGCCTAAGGCACTTGACTGCTAACCAGAATGCTGGCGGTTCAAACCCACCAGCCACTCCTTGGAAGGAAGGTTGGGCAATCCTACTTCCGTAGTGATACTGCCTCGGAAACCCAAGGAGGGGTTGCTACAAATTGGGGCCGACTTGATGGCAAATAACAACAACAGCAATTTTGAAATACAGCCTTAAGAAAATGAGAAAATATCACAAGAGATGTATCAAATAGAGGACTTACATGCCAAATCATATACAAAAATTTCTTATAACTCAATAAAAATACAAACAAACCACCTTTTAACTATGGGCAAAAGAATTGTTATGAATAGTCAACAGGTTCATGAAAAGATGCACAAAATCATTAGCCTTCAGGGAAATATAATTTCAAGCTACAATGAGCTACTACTACTACACATCTATAGGGGTGCTAACAATAAAAAAGACACTTGATAGCTTTTATCAAGTGTTGATGTGGACGAGGAGCTGGTGGGAACACAAAACAGTACAGAATAAAAGACAGTTTGGCAGTTTCTTACAAGATTAAACAGATACTTACCACACCATCCAGTCACTCCATCCCTAAGTTTTTACCCAAGAGAAATGTACACATGTGAATACCAGGACATTTACATGAACATTCATAGCACCTTTATTCCAAACAGCCCAAAATTGCAAGCAATCTAAATGTCCATCAACAGGCAAATTAACAAACTGTGGCATATCCACACAATAAAACTAAAATAACTCACTGCTATCAAGTCGGATCTAACTCATAGCGACCCCTCCTTGGGTTTGTGAGGCAGTATTACTACGGAAGTACATTGCCCAACCTTCCGAGGAGTGGGTGGTGGGTCTGAACTGCCAGCCTTCTGGTTAGCGGTTAAATGCCTTAGGCAGTATGCCACCAGAGCTCCTAATACTACTCAAAAATAAAAAGTGATCTACTGATACATGCAAGAGCACATATGAACCTCAAGTTATGCTAAGCAAAGCACAAGAGCATACAATGTAGATTCCATTTATAAGAAACTCCAGAAGAGAAAACTAACCCATAGTGACCAGGTAGTTCAGTGGTTGGCTGGAGCTAGGAGTGGGCATTGGGGGTCAACTTGAAAGGAGCCCAAGGAAATTTTCCAATGCAATGGCAATGTTTTATATATTAACTATGATGGGTATGTATACATTTTTAAAAGTTCATCAAACTGTACATGTAAATAGATACATTTTACTGCATGTAAATTACACTTTAATAAAGTTAATTTTCTAAAAAGTCAATCTTTAACTCCAGTGATTTGAGATGCCACTTTTACTACAGGAAATCCTTTGGAAAAGAGAAAAAAAAAAGAATGTTTAATTTTATTCCAATTTAAAAATATTCATGAACCAAATGACAACATGCAAATATAAACAACCAATAAAGATTAAGTAAAAGTAAAGACTGAACAACTCTGACCTTTGACTTAATTCGAATGACTTTGGAAATAAATATGAAGAGCTGATATTCTTATCTTTATCTAGTGTTGTAAAATACACGGCATATTTCTACAAGGTCAGACTGACAAAACCCTCGCAGACAAGACAGAGATGTTGCTCCTGAAAACCTCTCTCCCCGCTGTGCTGCGTTCTTCCAGCAGACCTCCTCGCCTCGTTTCTTACTATCACTGACTATATACAGAAGTGAAGCAGTAATGCAACACAAATAATCATTTCCTGTGCTTAAAGAAGTAGGCATTTTACGATTTTCCCTTTAAAAACAGAAAGTAGCATTTAACTTATATGGTTTGGCTCATTCTTCAGTTGGGTCAGTTAAGTTGGGGAAGTGTAAGAACAGTTCTCAGTATCTGATCTAAATGTATGGAGAGTAGAGTTTGCTTAAAGTATATTGCCATCAACAATTCTTTGATCCAGTAAAAATATCAGACTTCACTGGCCAGAGATATTACTCAGTACTTTACTCTTAATCTTTAAATTTTACTCATTTATATACCAAATACATGGGGGAAAAAAGCTAAATACTTAACATTTATAAAAATATCAATCTGATTTCAAGTTTCCCAAGTATGAATTTCTTTTCCATTTTGGTTTTAACCATGGAATTTTATTTCCATCCTCCACTAACAAGTAAACTTGTCAACTTAGGCCAATCATAAATTAGATCTAGTTAACATCTAATTATATAAAATGTTTCAATTTCCTTTAATAGAATAGTAGCCATCAAGGAAAAGACAATGAGAATAATTCCATTACATTGACAAGAGTCAGAGCTGAACATAATTATTCTCAATCCTATAATCAGGAAGAAGAAAGCATTTAACTGTAAGAACAAGAAATCTAACTACTACATACTATGTCAATGAATATAACAATCACGCTTGATTTTTACCTATCACAAAAGGAAGTGGTGGTGGTGCCAAAGGGGCCAGGAGGCCCCATCTTCTGACCTCCTCTAACCCCACAAGAGGAATAAAGCATCACCATCAGTAGCCCAAGGCCTATTCCTGTGAGGCCAGACATGCTGCCTCCCTCCAGCCCTTTCACCAACCCCCACACCAACCACTGCTCCCACAGCACCCACCACCTCTCTGCTGGGTTCAATAATTTGCTACAGTGGCCACACAGAACTCACAGATTATGGGGTTTATTTGGGAAGCACCAGGCTACTATTCAAGTTCAAGAACATGCTCAGTCTCTCTCAGCCCACTGTCTCTCACCAAGAATCTCTCTCAGTCTCTCTCCCAGCAGTGTGTGTCTCTCAGTGTCGCTCTCTCTCTCCCTCTCTCTCAGCAATGCATGTCTCCCGTGTTTCTCTCTCAGCATGTCTCTCGTGTCTCTCTCTCAGCAATGTGTGTCTCTTGAATCTCTTAGCCAGCAGTAAGAGATTCCATCTGCCTCTAGGAGTGCTCCGTTAGAGCCTGGCAGAGTGGCCAAACTAACCAATGCCAACATCAGACTTCTACATACCTGAGAGACAGTAAACTTCCCAGAAAATTACTTGGTGCTGCTCCCAATAGAAATATCCCAGGTGGACAACTTTAACAATCAGGAGCTACTCAGTTGCTCACAGCAAATTCCACCAGAGTTTACAAAGACTTTTGGCTAGAAAAGCCACACTATGTAATTTACTACACCAAAGGGAGTTAGTGAAAAATCACAAGTATCAATTCCTAATCTTTACTAAGCCCCAATGTCTGTTACTAAGACATTATCATTCCCTTCCATTAACAGAGAAAACATTTCACATTAGTGTGCTGTACCCAAGTTTCATTTTTGCATCACGGTCATTTTTTTGGACTCTTACATTTTTGTGACATTCCTTTAGCAAGTTAATCAAGATGTTGCATTCTTCAGTGTGCAAGTGTGGAGATAAGTCAGGATGCATCTTTAGGAGAAGATGATGGATCACAGCAACCTGTGGATACAAGAGGGTCTTGAATATGCATGGATATATTTGTTAGTGCAACCTAAAACTATTTTCAATAAGAACTTGCAGTGACTTTTATCAGAAAAGAATGCTGACCATTAATCAGCTGTGTAACCTCAGGCCAACTCATTAAACTTGAACCTAAATTTCCTTATCCAAGGATTTACTATATTCAGGAGCATTTAACCAATCTGCAGGTTCAAAAGTAGAATCCTCTAAAAACCTAATCCTAGAAATAAGTGCTCAAAACCAAACCAAACTTACCGTCAACTGAGTCAACTGCGACTCATAGCAATACTTCAAGACAAAGCAGAACTGCCCAAGGGTATAAATCTTTATGGAAGCAATCCAAACCCCACTGCCGTCCCGTTGTTTCTGACTCACAGCACCCCTAGAGGACAGGGCAGAACTGCCCCAAAGTTTCCAAGGCTGTCAATCTTTATGCAAGTTGACTGTCTCATCTTTCTCTGGCAGAATGCCTAAGAGGTTCTAAGTGCTGACCATTTGGTTCACAGCCAAATGCTTTAACCACTGTGCCACCTGAGCTCCTAGAAACAAGTATCTGAGAGATAAGTACTCAAACCTGTTTTAATAAGAGATCCATCCGATCCTGGACTTAAGTACACAAGCCTGTATTAATAAACCTGATTTCCTGAAACTGCTTACAACTCACTCTATTCACACAAAATTCTACCAATTTTGAGAACTGTATTAATAATGCTTTTAATAACCTATATTCCCCCTGAGAGGGTTAAGGGATCATTAGTCAGTTACACATTAAAAGTGATGTAACTTATACCGTTTTCTGCCTAACATCTGGCTGAGGAAAACCAAACAATGAAGGGAAACAAGCAGATGCGGGGAAAAAGAAATCCTAAAAGTTCACACTTGGCACATAAATTCATAAAATACAATTACTACACTGAAAACAGGAGGCTGAAATCACTGAAATTAATTGTAATTAGCTCATTTGTAGAAAATGAGCAGCCACAGCCAAAGGGAAAACAAGAGCCCAAGGTGGGTGCTACAGTTACTCAGCACTATCCACCTATTCGTTTGTGTTCTTCATCAATGAGTCAGAATAGACTCCTCCAGACAAAACAACATCCCTGCTAACTCAGAAAGCTTCTTAAAAGAAAGTAGCAAGTAATTGCTTTAATCTTTAATCTAAAGTTCCAAGAAAGAAAACACAGGAGAAAAATCATGACCTTAGGTTGGCCAAAGAGTTCTTGTTGTTGTTGTTGTTGTTATGTGCCATCAAGGTGGACCCGACTCACAGCGACCCCTCCTTGGGTTTCTGAGGGTTATCACTATGATAGTAGATTGACCCATCTTCCTTCCGAGGAGTGGCTGGTGGGTTTCAACCACCAGCCTTCTGGTTAGCAGTCAAGTGCCTTAGGCACTATGCTACCAGAGCTCCTAAATTAAGAGTTCTTAGATACATCAAAAAGACAATCTATGAAAGAATACCTTGACAGAAAAAAAAAAAAATCAAAATTTAAAAGTTATGCTTTAAAAAAAAGCACCGTGAAAAAGAAATAAGAAAATCAATACCGTTCTCAATAGCTACCAAACAAATAAAATACTTGGGAATAAATCTTACCAGAGACACAAAAGACCTCTACAAAGAAAACTATAAAAAGCTACTTCAAGAAACCATAAAAGACCTAAGTA